AACCATGCCCTTTCATTTGTATATCATGTATGGCTGCTTTCACATGACGTCAGAGTAACTGCAACGGAGACTGTATGGTCTGCAAAGCCTAAAATATTTACTATCTGGCCTGTGTCTCCCCCCGATGTAGATTGGCCTCTGAGCTCTGGGTGCCTGCCTATTCCTGGGCAGTGGGAAACCACCCACTCGTAGGAAATAATTTGAAGTCAGAGGAAGTCAGCCTATTCAGACCAGACTTTGAAACTCAAACTGCAGTTAACTTGCAGCTCTCTCGTGATTTAGACCCACAAGGCCGAGGACATGCAGAGCAAGGCTATGAAAGCTGCCACTCCTTCACCAGTGTCCTGGGGAGGTGCCCAGGTGTCTTACCAGATGTGGGCCTCTCCATCATTTCAGCAAGTGTGTGCACATGTGTGAATGTGTGTACACAAATGCATGCATACATTTTTTAAAAATACATGCACATATTTTAAAAAACATATGAGTTCTGGTTCTGGGCAAGACGGAGAAAACTGTCCCCACCCTGTCACCTCCACTGACAGCAGTTATAATGCCTGGATTGAGTGCAAGGGGGTGTTCTTTGAGGACTCAGGAAGTATACAGTAATAGGGGAACTGGGGAAGAAGACCAGACTGCAAGATCCCACAAAACCAGTACCTCCGGCCTGGTCTCTCCAGGCGGTCTGAAACCCGAGTTGGGCCATAGGGAGAGATAGAGGCAGGCCGGGAGCCCCTCTTTCTGGCTTGAGCAACACGAAAGGGGACTCCTGACATGCAGAGAGAGCGGGGGGAACCTCCCTGTGCTTCTTTCTGCTTCTTTGCACTCCTGCCTTGAGGCCTTCCTGCTGGAGTCACAGTGACGAGGGGGCTGCAGCGGCCTCCCACTCCGTAGGCGCAGGGGCCCCTCCTCTCTAGGCCCCAGAGAATGCAGCCAAGCCCCACGAGTCTTTCCTCTCGCTGTCCTCCTACCACGTGGCTCTGGTTGCAAGTGTAGTCACAGGAAAACTGTGACAGGGCCAGGTGGATCAAGGCCCAGCGTTCTGACCGAGAGGCCAAATAAAGGAAAACCAGGGAACCGGAGGTCACCAGGAAGATGGCAGAGGGGGCGCGCAGGAAAGCGACCAGACAAAATCGCTTATGGACTCCTGGTCACCTCCGAGCTGCGCACACAGGTCCGATCCCAGCCTTCCAGCCCCCCTGAGGAATCAGGGGGGACAGTGCCCAGGCCCCTCCGCGTGGCATCCACACAGCACACCACCACAAAGGCTTGAGAGCTGAGGTGGAAGCCACAACCCAGAGGAGGTGGTTAGAACTCGTGACCGGAGCCCAACTGGGCCAGTCATTTGCTAAGACAAAAAAAAATATCAAAGTTTGCCATGGAACTCAAGCAGGATTCAGAGCCTCAGAGCAATATTTTGAACATTCAGGATACAAAATGACTTAGCTCAGGGCTTCCCTGGTAGCTCGGTGCTGAAGAAGCCACCTAGTAATAGAGGAGACGCAGGTTCGACCCCTGGTCCAGCAGGATCCCATGTGCCACAGGGCAGCTGGGTCTGGGAGCTGAAACCACGGAGCCCGTGCTCTGGAGTGTTCGCCATGGCAGAAGTCACCGCGGCAAGAAGGCCGAGCACCACAGCGGGAGGGCGGCCCCCACATGCCCCAAGTGGAGAAGAGCCCGCGGAGCAGCAAGGACCCAGCCCAGCCATAAATAAATAAAGAATTTTAAAAATTACTAAGCACAGGGAGAACCAGGAAAATCAGCTCACGTGGGAAAAGATACCAGACACCACTACTGACATGACTCCAGTGTTGGAATTGTCAGACAAGACGTGAAAGCAGCTGTTATTAAAACAACCGCAACAACAGAGCTCCAAGTAAATGAACGGACACATTGCAAGTCTCAGCCGAGAAACAGAAGGAAGAGAGAAGAACCAACTGGAGTTTTCAGAACTGAAAAATATAATTATCAAAATTTAAAACTCTGTGGATGAGCTAAACAGTAGAATTCAGATGAGAGAGAAGAGATTTAATGAGCCCGAAGCTGGTTCAATACAAATGATGAAATCTTATCAACAGAGAGGAAAAAAAGAATAGAGTTTTAGTGAGGGAACACGAGGGAATACCGACAGCCTGACCTGACCTTCATGCCACTGGGGTCTCCGAAGGAGCCAGGAGAAAGAGAGCGGTGTGGAAAATTATTTGAAGAAGCCATGGCTGGAAACTTCCCAAGCTTGAAGAAAAACGTAAACTTATGAATTGAAGGAATTCAGCAAACCCTGCAAAGAATAGTCCTCCAAAATCCACATCCAGACGTATCACAGTTAAACTTCTGAAAGTTAAGGAAAACAATCTTGAAAGCAGCCAGAGAGAAAAGATGCATTACTTATAAGAGTTCTAGTGACTCTAGATTTTCACCAGAAACCAGTGCTAAAATGGAACATTTATAAAGCGTATGAAAGAAAAAATTGTCGATCTAGGATTCTGAATCCAGAAAAAAATATCCTTCAGGAATGAAGGCAAAATATTCTCAGGACCTCCCTGGTGGTCCAGTGGTTAAGACTCTGTGCTTCCACTGCAGGGGGCAGGGAACTGAAATTCCCCATGCTGCAGGGCCCAGTCAAAAAATACAAAATAAATTTTAAAAAATGAATAAAGATGTTCTCAGATGAAAGAAAAGCAAGAGACTTCATTGCCGGCATATCTAGTCTAGAAGAATTGCTCAAAGAAGTTTTTCAGACAGAAAGGGACACTTGGAACATTAGGAATGGAGAACAGAAATGGTAAATACCTGGATAAATACAACAAATGATTCTCCTTGAGTTTTTAAAACATGTTTGATGACTGAGAGCAAAAATGATAACATCTGCCTGATGGGATCTTGGTGCATATAGATGCAATACATACGACAGCTACACTAAGAGAGGGAAGAGATCTATATTGTATGTTCTACCCGAAATGGTAAAACACCCACTCGAAATAGACTGTGGAGATCTAAGTCTGTATATTGTAATCACAGGTCATTCACTTAAAAAAGTGAGAGAGAGAGTGAAAAAAAACACACACACACAGCAAAAAATTAAAATAGAATACTAAAAAAAATTCCAACGATCGATAAAGTGGATGAAGATGAAACATGTATTTCTTCTTATGAATCACAAGGTCACAACCCCCCTGCCCCCACCCACCTGCGCACGCCCCAGGAGGCCAACCTCCACCGAGGGCCTCACGGGGAGCCCTGTCCTCTGACGTCATGGGGTCTGGCAGAAGATGGCATTAGTGACAGAGCAGTGGACGGAGAGAGAGTGCGGGCCCCCAGCTCTGCCTCCGCCCCCCAGCTCTGCCTCCGCCCCCAGCTCTGCCTCCGCCCCCAGCTCTGCCTCCGCCCCCCAGCTCTGCCTCCGCCCCCAGCTCTGCCTCCGACCCCAGCTCTGCCTCTGACCCCAGCTCTGCCTCCGCCCCCAGCTCTGCCTCTGACCCCAGCTCTGCCTCCGCCCCCAGCTCTGCCTCCGCCCCCAGCTCTGCCTCCGCCCCCAGCTCTGCCTCCGCCCCCAGCTCTGCCTCCGCCCCCCAGCTCTGCCTCCGCCCCCAGCTCTGCCTCCGCCCCCAGCTCTGCCTCTGACCCCAGCTCTGCCTCCGCCCCCAGCTCTGCCTCCGCCCCCAGCTCTGCCTCTGACCCCAGCTCTGCCTCCGCCCCCAGCTCTGCCTCCGCCCCCAGCTCTGCCTCTGACCCCAGCTCTGCCTCCGCCCCCAGCTCTGCCTCCGCCCCCAGCTCTGCCTCTGACCCCAGCTCTGCCTCCGCCCCCAGCTCTGCCTCCGCCCCCAGCTCTGCCTCCGCCCCCAGCTCTGCCTCTGACCCCAGCTCTGCCTCCGCCCCCAGCTCTGCCTCCGCCCCCAGCTCTGCCTCCGCCCCCCAGCTCTGCCTCCGCCCCCAGCTCTGCCTCCGACCCCAGCTCTGCCTCTGACCCCAGCTCTGCCTCCGCCCCCAGCTCTGCCTCCGCCCCCAGCTCTGCCTCCGCCCCCAGCTCTGCCTCCGCCCCCAGCTCTGCCTCCGCCCCCAGCTCTGCCTCTGACCCCAGCTCTGCCTCCGCCCCCAGCTCTGCCTCCGCCCCCAGCTCTGCCTCCGCCCCCAGCTCTGCCTCCGCCCCCAGCTCTGCCTCTGACCCCAGCTCTGCCTCCGCCCCCAGCTCTGCCTCCGCCCCCAGCTCTGCCTCCGCCCCCCCAGCTCTGCCTCCGCCCCCCAGCTCTGCCTCCGCCCCCCAGCTCTGCCTCCGCCCCCAGCTCTGCCTCCGCCCCCCAGCTCTGCCTCTGACCCCAGCTCTGCCTCCGCCCCCAGCTCTGCCTCCGCCCCCAGCTCTGCCTCCGTCCCCCAGCTCTGCCTCCGCCCCCAGCTCTGCCTCCGCCCCCAGCTCTGCCTCCGCCCCCCAGCTCTGCCTCCGCCCCCAGCTCTGCCTCCGCCCCCAGCTCTGCCTCCGCCCCCCCAGCTCTGCCTCCGCCCCCCCAGCTCTGCCTCCGCCCCCAGCTCTGCCTCCGCCCCCAGCTCTGCCTCCGCCCCCCAGCTCTGCCTCCGCCCCCAGCTCTGCCTCCGCCCCCAGCTCTGCCTCCGCCCCCAGCTCTGCCTCCGCCCCCCAGCTCTGCCTCTGCCCCCAGCTCTGCCTCTGCCCCCAGCTCTGCCTCAGCCCCCAGCTCTGCCTCCAGGGGCTCCCCCAACCCCACACGTCTACGACCGGGTGCAGTGGTCCAGATCATCCCTGCAGGGGCCTGACAGCTCCCCAGGCGCCTACTTGTTTTTCCTCCATCCAAGGGAAACCCATGAGCACAATCTGACCTTGGCTGGGCTTCAGACCTGCACCCTTCTCTGCAAGTCATCTCTGCTCCGGTACATAAACACGTGGCCCCGGCCATCCCACCCTCCTTCATCTGGAAACAGAGCCTCCCTCCCTGGAGCCCCGCTCCCTGGAGCTCCCCAGCCCCTGCTGCCCGGCTCCAGGCACGGCTTCTCACCCGCCTGATGCAGTCCTCCTCCTTCAGGCGCTCCTGCATCAGTCTGATGAGCAGCATGTTGGGTACCATCTAAAGGAAAGATGACACGGGATGAGGGCCTGCCCCCCTGTGTGGGTCTCAAGGGGACAGAGCTGGCAGGCCAGTGGGCTCCGCTAAGGCCCGAGAACCCGGCCCTGAGGCCATGAAGCTTCTCCAGATCCCTGACCAGGGCACTGTGGCCTCCGTGAAGTCCAGGGCCAACCTGTGGCCCCAGAGTAGTCCAGACTCCTTGATAGCCCCCCTACCCCACTCATGCGCATCCACCTCCACTCTCTTGCTTCTCCAGCGCCCCGCCCCTGCCCAGATGCTCTCCCCCACCCCCACCTGGGTGACTCCAGGCTCCCCAAGTGCCACCGCCTGCAGGCAGCCCTCCCTGACCCTTCCCGGGCTGGGCTGGGGGCTGCCATGATCCTCCACGGCAAACTGTTACTGCGCTAACCATGCGGGCTTCCAGGGACCTGTGCACACATCTGTCTCCCTGGAGAGCTTTAGAGTTCCTGGACGAAGAGGACAAAGTCTGCCTCTCTTTGGCCCCAGACACTGACATGCAGGAGGGAGCCAGTCCTGCCCGTCTCTCCCACCCCCACGTCCCGGGAAGTGGGCCCCCGTGTTCCGCGGTGTGTGTCCCACGGAGGTGGGCCAACGCTAGAAAGGAGGGCTTTCTCCCTGGAGAGCTGGCTGTGAGGAACTGACCAGCGCCCCTCCGCTCCTGCGCCAACACAGCATCGGGGGCGGAGGAAGCCCTGCTGACTGATGACCTAACGACACGTCACGTTCCTTAATCCAAACAGGAAGGAGTGAACCTGTGGGCGGCTTCTGCCGAGGGTGTGCTGGGTGCCAGGCTGCGGCAGCCCATGTTTGCAGCTCCGTGCAGTCAGTATTATCTTCATCCTCCATTTACGGTTGGGGAAGCTGGGCCTCCAAGAGGTGAGGTCACCTCCCCAGGGCTACACAGCCAGGCAGGAGCAGAGGCGGGGCCTGAACCCGATCAGGCCAGGCTCGGGAAGGATGAACCAGTGTAGGTGGGCAGGGGGCTCCTCGGGGTGACGCTCAGAGCGGCCTTCCTTCTGCTTCCTCTCTTCCCGCAGCCTCTCTTGGACCAGAACTGACATCCCATTTTCACAAGGTCTGCTCTACCAACCTCAAATGCCCAGAGCTGGTGCCCCTGGGAAACCCACTCCCAGGTGTCCCCTTGATCCCTGGCCACTAAAAGCTGGTACTTCTCCCCAAACTGCCCAAACACTGGGCCAGCCCCGGACCATACCTCCCAAGCTACCTCAGAGCTGACTGGTCTCCGGGAGGGGCTGGACTTCTGCCAGGTGCAGGGCAGGGTCCTTGGGACCAGGGCCGAGCAGGTGGGCGCTGGGTGCACACAGAGGCGCCCAGATGTGGGGCGAGGGGCAGATTTACCTTATGCTCCTTTTGCCAAGCCGGGGACCCGGGATGGACAGTGGGGACAAGCACCTTGCCCTGATTTCTCCAAGTGTCCTTAGGGTGAATGGGGGCCCTGGCAACATTTTAGTGATGCTGGAGAAAAGTCTGGTCTCTCATTCTAGACCCAGCGTTCAGAGTGACCAGATCCTGCCTTGGGAACGCTACCGAGTCTGCCTGCAGTGCTGCAGTGGCACCTAAAGGGACACAGAGCCGCGACACCACAGAGCCGCTGGGACAGGCTAGGGGAATGCTCGGGGCTGCTGACTCAGATGTGGATGTTAGTAAGTGTCTGTGCATGTGGAGAACACGTCCACACCTCACTCTTGTTAGGGCCTAAGAGCAAGGATCGGAGAAACAGACGGCACCCGGCTCCTCTAACTACTGACGTTTGCCATGTTTATCTGCTCGCAGTGAACAGTTCAGTCAGTTTGTACACAAGAGCGATTCTGAGACAGCAAATGGGGTGCTGGACGTGCAGAGAGGACCCGGGAGGTGAGGGGACAATCCTCTCAGGGGCTCGAGGTCTCCTGGATTTTCCAGGAGCGCCCTGACCTGCCGTCTCCTTGAGCAGTCTGAATGGGTCCCTGACAAGAGCAGGCTGGGCTTGGGCAGATGGAGGTGGTGGTGAAGGACACCCCAGGAATCAGCCCACAGGGGAGGGTCAGGGGCCAGAGGAGGAGGGGGGGAAGGTCGTGAGGAGAGATCCAGGAGGTTCTCTCCGGCTTCGGGAGAAGCCCGTTCCCAGGGAGAACCTTGGGGGACCACTGGACTGGCTGGGGACTCAGACGCTCTCCATTTGGGCCTTGACCACCCCGAGGACCCTGGCCAGTGCCTTCAAAGCTTTGAGCCTCGCGTTCCGAGTCTGTAAATGAGATGCAGACGAAACCCTTCAGCGTTGCCGCGAGGATTGAGTGAGGCGGGACACGCGGCTGCTGGTGTTTGTGTGTGTGGCCCCCAGCAAGGTCTCGGTGCTGTGGCAATCGTTACCCTCGGGTGCCCTTAATACACCCAGGACAAGAGTGAAATCATCAGGGGCAGGAAGTCCGCCCTCCACTGGATCCAAAGCTGAGAGGATGTAAGAGCTGGAGTGGCAGCAGCCGCTTTGCAGGCACAATGGGCACATAAGGGAAGAAAATCAGCACAAGAGGAGAGAGACGCCAGGTTCCTCAGCCCCAGCATGGCTTTTCCAGGGTGTCGAATTAGAAGAGGAAGAGCAGACCTTGAAAGTCATGGGGCCACTATGGCTTCTACAAAGTGGACAGCAAAAGCAGGAGCAGCAGAGAGAGAATGAATGAACGAGTGACACATACAGAAAAGAGCAGGCCAGAGGCTAGCCAGCATCCAGCCCGTTTCAGTATCTCCTCTGTGTCCTTATATCTGCTCTCTGTCAACTTCCTGCTTAAGCCAGTAGTTCTCAACCTGAACGCACATCCTGCAAGAGCTTGTTAATGCACAGATCACTGGCCCCGCCGCAGGGTTCTGACTCCACAAGTCTGGGATGAGGCTGGCAATCTGAATTTTGAGCAGGTTTTCGGGTGATGCTGAGGATGCTGGTCCAGGGACCACACCTGGAGAACCACTGTCTTAAAGAAACTCCAGCAGCCAAGAGCCCCACTGCACATGGAAGAAGTTGCTGGAGAGGGACCTGTCCTGCTGATGCCCATGTTGCCCCCCCAGGACTAGCGAGGGGAGTGGGGAGGAGCACTGCCCCTCCCCTCTGCATGGCTCCTATCCTTTCCGGCCCCTGGGTGTCCCTGCCGACCCCAGAAACTGCGATTTCCACCCCATGATTCCTCCCCCTTCCCTGCCATCACCCATTCAGGAGGCAGCATTCAAACAGGTTCTGGGACACGGGGGATGGGGGGCGGTGCAAGCCCATCAAAGAACACGGGTTGAAAGGCGACAGGTCCGGGTGGAGTGCGGTGCCCCCCACGGTCCGCACAGCAGGGGACAGGCTGGCGACTTTGAGAGAGGCCCCTCTCGGGTGCCCCCCACCGCTCCCTGCCTCGGTGCTGTCTCGGTACCAGCTTTGATGTGTCACGTCAGCGGCGGGGGCTTCCCGGGGGCCGCTGCTCGGAGCCCTGCCAAACTGTCTTTGCGGCAATCAGGCTCCCTCCTTCCTGAGCTCTGCCACGCTCTCCCACCCCAGCCCCCAAAGTGTGGCTTTTGGGGAGAATCAGGGACAAACTGGATGGAGCCTCGGGCAGCCCCTGCTGGTCCTCAAGGTCAGCACAGGTACAGGCCCCCGGCCCTTGTCTCCCCATGCAGGGGCAACACGACAGCCAGCCGGCCCAGGTCCCTTGCCATAAAGGGCAGAATCAGTTGTGTGGCTCCAGTTTGGACCTTTCTTCTCCTCCCAGTGCCCAGGCCCGGGGTAGAACCACTGGCTTGCAACCTCGTAGGTGCCGCCCCTGTCCCGACGGGGCAGCCCCTGGTGTGGATGCTCAAGCCCTGGCTGTCCCTGGGCACCTCACTGAACTTCTCAGGCCCCGGCTTCCTCCCCTGTGATGACAGGAGCCTGTGTGGTTTCATCACCAGGCCCTGCCCTTGGGGCCCCTGACATCCCCGGGTCACCCTTGGGTGACGCTTACTCAGGAGTTGCAGGTGTCCTGACTGACAGTATGAAGTTCCGTCTGGAGCAGAGCAGGGAGGGGAAGAGTTGAGGCTCTGATCGGCCTGACTGCACCCCCTCGCCTCTGAAGGGGCTGGTGCTGGGGGAGGAAAGGCCTGTACTTGGACTGGAACTCACTTAAGACTTGATCAGAGAATCCTTTAAAGACAACTCTCCTTTCAAAGTTTCTGCCACTTCTCGGGGCTGTCAGAACAGGTATCTGTGGCAGAGACTCTCTTAGTTCTGAGGCAGGACTCACCTAGTTCTAGCTTCTGAAACAGTGACAGGAGATGGGGGGATGGAGAGCAGGGGACCAGGCTTTGAAGGGAGCACATAGATCCCAGCATGGGGCGGCCGACAGCCCTGCAGAGGGAGGGGGCCAGAAGGGAGACCCGAGGGTGGGAAAGGCCAGTGAACTTGAAAGGAGCCACGGAGACTGGTCCTTGGGTTCCTCTGCCTCCCTCCTGGGCTGTAACTTCCTCCACCACCCCAAATCTTCCCAAAGGACTGCTGCGCACCACCGCCTCAGGTGCCCCAGCTGGCAGATGAAGCGCTTGTATTCCACTTGCTGGAGAGGGCTGCATCCCCAGGCTGTAGCTGTCTCTCCCACCCGTGTATCTGCTAGAAAGCCTTTCTAGGAGAAAGGCTGGCTGGTGGTGGCTCCTCTTCCATTTGGGGTTTCCTGTTGGTGGGGGTGACATTGCCTCAGGGGAACCTTCTCTGCACTCTCAAGGAAGAAGGTATTGTTGGTACAACAGTGTAGGGACAGTTATGTATTATTTGTGGTGTTGTGGTACTGGAGTGGGGGAGACGAAAGGGGAACTCAATTGGGGGAGGGACAATGCCCGATGGTTTCCCCATGTCAGGCTTTTGCTTTCTCTTGATTTGGGAAATTCGGGCCCAGTAGGGCTATGAGGAGGAACCTCTGCGAGTATAAGGGAAGACTGACTGTGGGGAGGACACGGGTCTTTGGTGTGACGACTGT